AGAGGTGATATGATCCTTAACTGGCCTCTCAAAGCACTTCATGATGACAGAAGTGAGTGCCACTGGGCGATAGGTATTTAGTTCAGTTACCTTTGCTTTCTTGGGTACAGGAACAATGGTGGACATCTTGAAGCAAGTGGGGACAGCAATCTGGGATAGGGAGAGATTGAATATGTCCATAAACACTCCAGCCAGCTGGTCTGCGCATGCTCTGAGGACGCGGCTATGGATGCCGTCTGGGCCGGCAGCCTTGCGAGGGTTAACACGCTTAAATGTCTTACTCACATCGGCCACGGAGAAGGAGAGCCCACAGTCCCTGGGAGTGGGCCGCGCTGGTGGCACTGTGTTATCCTCAAAGCGGGTGAAGAAGGTGTTTAGCTTGTCCGGGAGCAAGACGTCGGTGTCCACAATGTGGCTGGTTTTCCCTTTGTAATCCGTGATTGTCTGAAGACCCTGCCACACACGTCTCGTATTTGAGCCGTTGAATTGTGACTCCACTTTGTCTCTGTACTGACTTTTTGCCTGTTTGATTGCCTTACAGAGGGAATAACTACACTGTTTGTATTCAACCATATTCCCAGTCACCTTGCCGCAGTTAAATGCGGTGGTTCGCGCTTTCAGTTTTCTGCGAATGCTGGCATCTATCCACAGTTTTTTGTTTGGGTAGGTTTTAATAGTCACAGTGGGAACAACATCCCCTGTACACTTCCTTATGAACTCCGTCACCGTGTCTGTGTATATGTCAATGTTATTCTCAGAGGCAACCTGGAACATATCCCAGTCCGCGTGATCAAAACAATCTTGAAGCAAGGATTCCGATTGGTCAGACCAGTGTTGAATAGACCTTAGCACGGGTACTAAACTGTTTGTGTTTCTGCCTATAGGAAGGGAGGAGCAGAATGGAGTCGTGATCTGATTTGCCGAAGGGAGGGCGGGGGAAGGCCTTGTAGCCATCCCGGAAGGGAGAGTAACAGTGGTCGAGTCTTTGATGCGTGAGTACTACAGGCAATGTGTTGATAGAACTTTGGTAGTGTTTTCCTCAAATTTGCTTTGTTAAAATCCCCAGCTACAATAAATGCGGCCTCAGGATATGTGGTTTCCAGTTTGCACAAAATCCAGTGTAGTCCCTTGAGGGCCGTCGTGGTATCGGCTTGAGGGGGAATATACACAGCTGTGACTATAACCGAAGAGAATTCTCTTGGGAGGTAATACGGTTGGCATTTGATTGTGAGGTATTCTAGATCGGGTGAACAAAAGGATTTGAGTTCCTGTACGTTATCACAATCACACCATGAGTAGTTAATTAAGTGAGAATGCCAGAGAAGCCGGTGTTTGGAGGATATATTAGCAAACCGTGCCAATACAGAAAATTCTGAAAGTATTCAGACCCCTTGACTTTTTCCACATTTTGTTACGTTAAAGCCTTATTCTAAAATTGATTAAATAATTTTTTTACGTTATCAATCTAAACACAATACTCCATAATGACAAAGCAAAAACTGGTTTTTATAATTTTTTGCAAATGTATAAAAAATAAAAAACGGAAATATAAATTTACATAAGTATTCAGACCTTTTACTCTGTACTTTGTTGAAGCACCTTTGGCAGCTATTACAGCCTCGTGTCTTCTGGGTTATGATGCTACAAGCTTGGCACACCTGTATTTGGGGAGTTTCTCCCATTCTTATCTGCAGATCCTCTCAAGCTCTGTCAGGTTGGATGGGGAGCGTCGCTGCACAGCTATTTTCAGAGATGTTCGATCGGGTTCAAGTCCAGGCTCTGGCTGGGCCACTCAAGGACATTCAGAGACTTGTCCCGAAGCCATTCCTCCGTTGTCTTGGCTGTGTGCTTAGGGTCGTTGTCCTGTTGGAAGGTGAACCTTAGCCCCAGTCTGAGGTCCTGAGGGCACTGGAGCAAGTTTTCATTAAGGATCTCTCGTTACTTTTCTCCGTTAATCTTTCCCTCAATCCTGACTAGTCTCCCAGTCCCTGCCGCTGAAAAACATCCCCACAGCATGATGCTGCCACACCCATGCTTCACCGTAGGAATGGTGCCATATTTCCTCCAGACGTGACACTTGGCATTCAGGGCAAAGAGTTCAATCTTGGTTTCATCAGACCAGAGCATCTTGTTTCTCATGTTCTGAGAGTCCTTTAGGTGCCTTTTGGCAAACTCCAAACGGGCTGTCATGTGCCTTTTACTGAGGAGTGGCTTCCATGTGGCCACTCTACCATAAAGACCTGATTGGTGGAGTAATGCAGAGATGGTTGTCCTTCTGGAAGGTTCTCCCATCTCCACAGAGGAGCTCTAGAGCTCTGTCAGAGTGACCATCGGGTTCTTGGTCACCTCCCCGACCAAGGCCCTTCTCCCCCGATTGCTCAGTTTGGCCCGGTCGGCCAGCTCTAGGAAGTCTTGATGGTTCCAAACTTCTTCCATTCAAGAATGATGGAGTCCACTGTGTTCTTGAGGATCTTCAATGCTGCAGATATTTTTTGGTACCCTTACTCAGATCTGTGCCTCGACACAATCCTGTCTCGGAGCTCTACGGACAATTCCTTCGACCTCATGACTTGATTTTTGCTCTGACATGCACTGTCAACTGTGGGACCTTATATAGACAGGTGTGTGCCTTTCCAAATCATGTCCAATCAATTGAATTTACCACAGGTGGACTCCAATCAAGTTGTTGAAACATCTCAAGGATGATCAATGGAAACAGGATGCACCTGAGCTCAATTTCGAGTCTCAGAGCAAAGCGCTTGAATACTTATGTAAATAAGGTATTTCTGTTTTTATTTTTAAATCCTGTCTTCGCTTTGTCATTATGGGGTATTGTGTGTAGATTGATGAGGGTAAAAATGTATATAATCCATTTTAGAATAAGGCTGTAAAGTGAAGGGGTCTGAATACTTTCCGAATGCACTGTCTATCCTCCATACACCAGCTTCAAGGGCATTATCACTTTTATACAAAGGGTTACCAAGATATTCAAATAATGATTGAGATATTTTTATTAAAAAACGTTATTTTAATGAATTTATTCATACTATTTCATCCTCCACAAGATATAGTCCCGACACAAATCTAGGGTTGCTAGCCAAGCCGGCTGGTCGTTCGTTCTATCGTTTCGGTTGCTGGAGACGCGACCCAGTCGTTCAGTCTTTTTGTTCTGTATCTATGGAAGCGACCCAGTCGTTTGTTCTAAATGTTCCATTGCCATACTGGCTGCCAACGTTCTTGTCCCTCCAAATACCTTTTCTCTGCCGTCGGCGTCTTGGAGCAGCCTCTGGGATAAGTTCAATTGCCCTGGGTGGTACGGACAAAGGATCCAATTCGGGAAAAGTCGTATTTCTAGTTGTAATGCTGGTGAGTTACCGCTGCTTTGATATCCCAAATGTATTTCCTGCTGTATGTAATAAGACAAAAAATGTTCTGGGCTAATAATGTAAGAAGTAACACACACAAAAACTAAATTGTGCAAAGTTGCTTAGAAGCTAGAAGCAGAGCTGCCATGTCAGTTGGCGCCATCTTGTATTCTATATTGCAACAATATCATAGCCATTATCAATGGGCAAAACTATGTTAAACCATTTAAGTGATTGTTGCAGTCAAATTCCTCTTGACTGTTGAGTTACGGTAACTTGGCTTCTCCAAAACTGCACTCTGATGCCGCTGATGGTCATTAGTAGCCTACCAAACTTGCTAATGGTCAATCGCTAATGGTCTGGTACTTAGCATTCTATTGTCCCTCAAATCACTCTGACATCAATGCAAATGCAATCGAAAATCAAATCAAACACTTCATGACAGGCCTGGCATTCAGAGTTTGAGCGGAATAGGATCATCTGTTGCGCAGCAAGAGCCAGCTCTTCATAACTGGTTGATGCATGGAATAAAATAAGTGTTCCTATAAGCCCATTTTGCGCAACATTTTTCTATAGGCTATGCTATACAATTGCGTGAGAAAACAGTTTTGATGGCCTATATTAAAAAGAAGAGGATCCCATCAGCTTTCTATAAGCTAGGCCTACTATATTTATTTCTCAACTTTGTTCATATTAAGCACATTGCTTCACTTTACAACCAGAGTAGCCTACCTGGCTGGCATGAAAATTAACCGCTGGAAAAGTGTCCTCCATTTGCTATTCAAGTGCATATAATTATTTCCCCTGCCCATGTTCCGACAGGGGCATTATAATGGCCCATTCTAAATCAAAACTGATTTCACACACATATTATTTAGTATATCTAAAGACAAGATTAAATTGAGAATAGTCTGATGGGTGAGAATATTATCACTTGTGAGGCAAGAAACAGCGCATGCATTTTTTTGTGACTTTTTCAAATCATAGTCGCATGCATCATGTAGCCTATAGCCCATTGGCCTGTATGTTTTGATAAGGTTTTCTTTCTGGATTTATCGACCGATGGCCTGTAAGGTCCGGAAAGATACAGTATATCCATTTATTGTTTTGTTATTATTGTACAACTTTTTTTGTCTAGTGTTCAGCCCAACTAAAAAGCTTAAACTTCAGGAGAACACAGAATCCAGCAAATATCTATTTGAGGATCAACCATCCATCAATTCTTGAGTAAGAAGTACTTTCACTGTATAATGCTGAATATTCTTGTTGATATGGTGGAGCATAAATTAATGAAATCTAGATCTGAGTAGCTTATATTACCGGGTTCAGAGAAGACATTCTGTGTATGTGAGTATAACCTACTCATACATATATATTGTCTTATTCTAGATGAGCCAAAGAAGCCTTTGGAGAAAGCGCCTGACAGTCAGAATAAAACTGCAGGTGAGTGTTCCTCTGTAACAACAGAGCAGAGCATATTGAAGGAGGGCTCTTGTTTCCAGTGGCTCTCTGTTGGGTAGTCATCAAAATGCTTCTCTGTTATAAATGTCATTAACTATGTTTATCCTGTTATTTTTAAGATAATGTAAAGCAGGATGTCGACCACAAAAACCAAGACCATAACAACATTCGCCCATGGCTCATCCCAGGTAAGTGAGTCTAGGTGATCATTTTGTGGTAAAGTAACACTCTCTTATTAAGATTAAAAACATTAAATAGTTGAAACAATATCATAGCCATTATCAATGGGCAAAACTATGTTCAACCATTTAAACTATTATGATTGTTGCTTTGATTGTAAACCCTGTCTCTTTTTTTTCAGTTGTTATTGCTGTTGCCATCATAATTTTGTTTATGTTGCTCGGTGTTGGTTGGTTAGTGTACAAAAAGCTGAAGAAGGGGTAAGGGTAGTTTCATTATGACACAACAGTACATTCCACATACAACCACTGGCACACAATTCTCACCCCTTCGTATTAAAACAACTTGACTGAAAAGGTTCTGACCCCAATCACAAGTTTACTTTAGAGACCACCAAACTGTTGTGTTCTCAGAAATTTATGTCAGAAATCTTCTGTTTATTTTATTACCACCTACAAGTTATTTCCTTGCCCTTTGTAGTGTTGTGTGTGCACTAGAAATGTATCCTGATTTAATGCATACTGTATCTTACTACATAGGTTTCCAAGCCAGACCAATAATGATATTGAGATGAACAATATGGGAACAGACAGGTAAACTTTTCCACATCAGAATCCCTTGATATATTGATCCCAGGGGTCATGTTAGTTTCTGTTAGTTTCTGTCTCCATAGAGGACATTGTGGTGGTGGAGGAAGGGGTCGTAATAAATGTGAACTCTGATTACTGTATGTCTTATTACTCCTACAGCACTAAGGACCATACTGATGACCTGCCTCCTGATGCTGAGACTCTGGGTCAACCTCAGATTAATGGACAGGTGCTCTCTGACAGGTGAGATCCTGGCTTTTACACTGTTCTGTGTGTATGTCATGGGCAGGATCGAACCCGGGTCTCCCATGGGAGAAACCAACGTTTTGACTGTTAGCCCAAGCAGAAATGTCCTGTTGGGCCGTGGGTGACACTAATTGTGAAGTTGCAGGCAGGGCTACCTCATCACGAGACCATGAGCCCTACTCATGTCCGCTACATGTAGCAGCAGCCATCTTTTGACTTTAAAGTTGCATGTGATGCTACACAAAATGTAATATTTGTGAATCAGTCCTCTGTAATATAGGCTTTGGACATGGACAAAATATGTACCCCTCCCAAACAATATCATTAAATGCAATATAATAATCTCCCCTTTAGCGACAAAGGAGAAGAAGGCGTACTAGGAGTGGAGGACGGAAAGCCGTCAGACAATGACAGAGCAGACACTGAATCCTGTCAGAAGACACATGCTGATTCCCCTCCACTGAATGTACCCAAGGTTGTCAGGTAAATTCTCCACATGAGGACTCCTTTGATAGATCCTCATTATCCATTGAATGACAATCTCATTTCTCCCTTCAGAATTGATCCCATGGATCATGTTAGTCTCTGCCTCTATGGAGGACAGTGTTGTTTGTGGTGGAACATAAGTTTTAACCCTGATGATCACCCTGGTATTGCTCCCACAGGGTTAACGGCCAGACTGATGACGCACAGCTTCTGGGTCAACCTCAGAGCAATGGATGCGTGCCATATAGAAGGTGAGAATGTGTATTTCATTCCAAACACTTTTGTCTGTGTTTAAAGTTCCATGGGATGGTAGAGGAGGTTAAATAACTGTTTGAGGTCATGTTTCCTGATCCAGTCTGTATCTTACACCACAGGGAATCACACCTGACCGATGGGGCTCCAGGTCAGGGTGCTGGTGAGACTTCACCCCTCCTCTGCAGGTGAGTCAGTCCTCTGTAATTTAGGCCATGAACATGTAGACCATGTGTACCCCCCTAAAACAGATCCTTAAATTCTTATTCATGTAATAATCACCCTTAGAAGCCCAGTAGAGGAAGGTGTGCTAGAAGGGGAGGACAGGAAGCCCACAGACAGTGGGGGAACATACCCTGAATCCTGTCAGAAGACACATGCTGAACCCCCTGACATCAGGTAAACTTCACTACATATTGATACATCCAGTACTCATTGTATGATAACCTCACCAACCCCATCGTCACTTGGTTCATGTTAGCCTCTGTCTCTATAGGGGACAGTATTATGGTGGATCGTGAATGTTGATGTCTTATTTCTTCAACAGGGTTAACAACAAGACCAAGGAACTGACTCCTGATGCACAGAGTCCAGGACCTCCTCAGATGAATGGACGACCTCCCATGTCTAACAGAGTTGCAAAGGAGACCACTGGTCTATTGGACAAACAGGCCTTGGACAAGGACCAAGTCAGCAAACCTGAGTTAATAGTAAGTACTGTTTATGCCAACTGGTGAATTGTTTGTCTTGGTATCTAAAATGACGGGGCTGGTTGTCTTTTTGCTCCAGCATATTTGTAACTCTTGTGTTTTTCCTAAGGACAAAGGACCTAATGACATGGAGTCAAGAAGAGGAGAACTGTAACAAGCGGTGGACGTTTGTATAACAAAAGAGAACCTAATAAGATATGATAAGATACAGTAATATATGATATACAGTGCATATTATAAGATACACATATGTGACTAGCTTCATCATAATCAGTCATATCAACCCCAAGACACATTCTGAGCAGTGTGTTTTAATGAACAGTGATTTTCAGAAACCTCAACAGTTTATTAAGTTAATTTTCTATGCGACAGCTGTAATCTGGATAGGTTAGGAAACATGTTCTAGTGAAATCAGTTGAAATTCAAAAACAGCCCAAGACTTTTAGATAACTAAAATGACAAAATTACTATTATCTAAATTATTATTATCTACATTTTGTATTACTATTGAAAATGACTGCGACTTATGACTGATTATGATACAGCATGTCACATATTAGCTATACAACATTATAATGATATGAAAGTATGGTAAGATCATACTTACACTAGTATTGTATACTATACATACAAGCTAATATATATCACATTCACATGAGAAGATGGATAAAACGTAAACCTCTTTACTATAGACATTTCCAAGGTCATGAGGTCTCAATGTCTTGTGGACATGTCAAATACAGCTAAACATTGACCCAGCGTTATTTACACAGTATATACAAAAGTATGTGGACACCGCTTCAAATTAGTGGATTTGGCTATTTCAGCCACACCGTGTCTGACAGATGTATAAAATCGAGCACACAGCCATGCAATCTCCATAGACAAACATTGGCAGTAGAATTACTAAAGAGCTCAGTGACATTCAATGTGGCACCGTCATAGAATGCCACCTTTCCAACAAGTCAGTTCATCAAATTTCTGCCCCGCTAGAGCTTCCCCGGTTAACTGTAAGTGCTGTTATTGTGGAGCAACAACGGCTCAGCCACAAAGTGGTAGGCCAGCCAAGCACACAGAATGGGACCGTCGTGTGCTGAAGTGCGTAACGTGTAAAAATCGTCTGTCCTCAGTTGCAACACTCACTACCGAGTTCCAAACTGCCTCTGCAAGCATCGTCAGAACAATAACTGTTTGTCAGGGCTTCATTAAATTGGGTTTCCATGGCCGAGCAGCCACACACAAGCCTAAGATCACCATGCGCAATGCCAAGCGTCGGCTGGAGTGGTGTAAAGCTTGCTGCCATTGGACTACGAAGCAGTTGAAACGCGTTCTCGAGAGTGATGAATCCCGCTTCACCATCTGGCAGTCCATCGGACATATTTGGGTTTGGGGGATGCCAGGAGAACGATACCTGCCCCAATGCATAACGCAAACTGTAAAGTTGGAATAATGGTCTGGACCTGTTTTTCATGGTTCAGGCTAGGACCCTTAGTTCCAGTGAAGGGAAATCTTAACGCTACAGCATACAATGACATTCTAGATGGTTCTATGCTTCCAACTTTGTGGCAACAGTTTGGGGAAGGCCCTTTCCTGTTTCAGCATGACAATGCCCCCGTGTACAAAGCGAGGTCCATACAGAAATTATTTGTTGAGATCGGTATGGAAGAACTTGACTGGCCTGCACCTTTGGGATGAATTGGAACGCTGACTGTGAGCCCGACCTCACTAATGCTCTTTTTGCTGAATGGAAGCAAGTCCCCGCAGCAGTGTTCCAACATCTAGTGGAAAGCTCCATATTAATGCCCATGATTTTGGAATGAGATGTTCGACGAGCAGGTGTCCACATACTTTTGGTAATCTAGTTTAGATGAAACATCATTCTCACAGGGCCCAGTCTCGGATGCTCTATTTTACTGAAGCAATTATTAATTATTTCTGAATTGAGAGCTAGCATGTGTCACGGTTTCGGCCGAGGCTGCAGGGACACCACTCTCACGTTTGACCAATTGGTTGACATGTCCATTCGGCTAGACACCCTGCTCGCCACCCGCGGACGTCCTGGGTGGGGGTCGCCCATTCCACCCTCCGGCACCTCCGAGCCGAGTCCCATGGAGCTCGGGGGTGCTGGCGCTAGAGAACGGAGGAGAAGGAGTCCGAGGGGGGCCGTCCCCTGCACCAACTGTGGCCGTGGAGGGCACACTGCGGCTAGGTGCTGGGGAGGGTCTCCAGGAGGACGAGACGGCAGGCCACGCACTAGGGAGTCCTCCCAGGTGAGTAGGCGCCCCACTTACCCAGAGCTCTCTGTCGTGCACCTAACCATACCTGTTTGTTTTTCACAGGTTGCACCTCGTTCCCAGCATAAGGCGCTAGTAGATTCAGGCGCAGCTGGGAATTTTGTAGATCGAACATTTTGTATAGAGTTAGGGATCCCTCTCCTTCCGGTTAATAATCCCTTCCCTGTACATGCCCTAGATAGCCGTCCGTTGGGATCCGGGTTGATTAGGGAGGTCACAGCGCCACTTAGGATGGAGACGCAGGGGGGTCATGAGGAGACGATTCAGCTATATCTGATCGACTCTCCTGCGTATCCGGTGGTGCTGGGGCTTCCCTGGTTGATTACTCATGATCCCACCATTTCGTGGCGAGAGAGGGCTCTTAAGGGGTGGTCTGCCCAGTGTGTGGGGCTATGTCTGGGTGTTTCCGTAGGGGCGACCTCGTGGAGAGTCCAAACCAAATGCCCGCAATGCACGTTCCCCCCGAGTATGAGGATTTAGCACTTGTGTTTAGCAAGGCGAGGGCGGCGCGATTGCCACCTCATAGACGGGGGGATTGTGCGATAGACCTCCAGGCAGGAGCTGCGCTCCCGCGGAGCCATGTGTATCCTTTGTCGCAAGAGGAGAAGAGGGCGATGGAGACATATATTGCAGAGTCTCTGAGACAGGGATACATACGGCCCTCCACTTCCCCTGCGTCCTCAAGCTTCTTTTTTGTGAAGAAAAAAGATGGAGGTTTGCGCCCGTGTATTGATTACCGCGGTCTCAATCAGATTACTGTGAAATATAGTTATCCACTCCCTCTGATTGCGACTATGACGGAGTCATTACACGGGGCACGGTTCTTCACTAAATTGGACCTCAGGAGCGCATACAACTTGGTGCGCATTAGGGAGGGCGATGAATGGAAGACAGCATTTAGTACTACCTCAGGTCATTACGAGTATCTCGTCATGCCATACGGGTTAATGAATGCTCCGTCAGTCTTCCAATCCTTTGTGGATGAGATTTTCCGGGTTATGCAGGGGCAGGGAGTGGTCGTGTACATAGACGATATTCTGGTGTACAGTTCTACCCGAGCCGAGCATGTAGCCCTGGTGCGCTGAGTGTTGAGGAGGCTGTTGGAGCACGACCTGTATGTCAAGGCAGAGAAATGTCTGTTCTTCCTGTTCTTTCGGTCTCCTTTTTGGGTTATCAGTTGTCCGCGTCAGGGGTGAAGATGGAGGTTGACCGTGTGTCAGCCGTGCGTAATTGGCAAACCCCAACCACGGTTAAAGAGGTGCAGCAGTTCTTGGGCTTTGCGAATTACTACCGGAGGTTTTTCCGGGGTTTTGGACAGGTGGCAGCTCCCATAACGTCCCTTCTCAAGGAGGGTCCGGTGCGCTTGCGGTGGTCAGCTGAGGCGGACAGGGCTTTTGGGAGACTGAAGGACCTGTTTACTTCAGCGAAATTATGACGTAGGGGACAGGGAGCTGTTAGCCGTGGTACAGGCCCTAAAGGTGTGGAGGCATTGGCTTGAGGGGGCTCAACACCCTTTCCTAATTTTGACTGACCACCGTAACCTGGAATACATTCGGGCAGCTAGGAGACTGAATCCTCGCCAGGCTCGGTGGACCATGTTTCTAGCCCGGTTCGTCTTTAAGATCACGTACATCCCTGGGTCCCAGAACGGAAAGGCAGACGCCCTGTCTCGGCGGTATGACACAGAGGAGAGGTCCGTTGAGCCCACTCCCATACTACCAAAGTCTTGTCTGGTGGCACCGGTGGTGTGGGAGGTCGATACTGAAATCGAGCGGGCGTTACGTACCGACCCTAGCCCTCCACAGTGTCCTGTGGGTCGGACGTACGTTCCGCTCGAGGTTCGGGATCGACTCATTTATTGGGCTCACACGTCACCCTCCTCTGGACATCCAGGTATTGGCCGGACAGTGCACTGCCTTAGCACAAAGTACTGGTGGCCAACGTTAGCCAGGGATGTGAGGGTTTATGTCTCCTCCTGCTCGGTGTCTGCCCAGAGTAAGGCGCCCAGACACTTGCCCAGGGGAAAGTTAGAACCCCTGCCCGTTCCACAACGACCCTGGTCTCACCTCTCGGTGGATTTTGTTACAGACCTTCCCCCCTCACAGGGGAATATCACCATCCTGGTCGTTGTGGATCGGTTCTCGAAGGCCTGTCGTCTCCTTCCCATGCCGGGTCTCCCTACTGCCCTACAGACCGCTGAGGCACTATTCACCCACGTCTTCCGGCATTACGGGGTACCCGAGGATATAGTGTCTGATCGAGGCCCCCAGTTTACCTCCAGAGTCTGGAGAGCGTTCATGGAGCGCTTGGGGGTTTCGGTGAGCCTTACCTCGGGGTACCACCCGGAGAGCAATGGGCAGGTCGAACGAGTAAACCAGGATGTGGGTAGGTTTCTGAGGTCGTATTGCCAGGGCCGGCCGGAGGAGTGGGCGAGGTATGTTCCCTGGGCCGAGATGGCACAGAACTCTCTCCGCCACTCCTCCACTAAACTAACTCATTTCCAGTGTGTGTTAGGGTACCAGCCGGCTCTGGCACCTTGGCATCAGAGCCAGATCGAGGCCCCTGCGGTGGATGAGTGGGTGCGGCGCTCGGAGGAGACGTGGAACGCTGCACACGTCCATCTGCAGCGGGCCATCCGTCGACATAAGACGAGCGCCGATCTCCACCGCAGTGAGGGGTCGGTGTACGCACCGGGAGATCGAGTCTGGCTCTCGACCAGAAACCTGCCCCTCCGCCTGCCCTGCCGGAAGCTGGGTCGGCGGATTGTGGGGCCTTTTAAAGTCCTGAGGAGGTTGAACGAGGTGTGTTACAGGTTACAACTGCCTATTGATTACAAGAATATTAACCCCTCGTTCCATGTGTCTCTCCTCAGGCCGGTGGTAGCTGGTCCACTCCAGGACTATGAGATAGAAGAGATTCCTCCGCCCCCGCTGGACATCGAGGGGGCTCCGGCGTACACTGTTCGGTCCATCCTGAATTCGAGACGCCGGATAGGGGGTCTCCAATATCTCGTGGAGTGGGAGGGGTACGGCCCGGAGGAGCGGTGCTGGGTGCCGAGGAGGGACATCTTAGACCAGTCTCTTCTGACCGAGTTCCATCGTGGTCATCCCACGCGCCCTGCTCCGCGTCCTCCTGGTCGTCCTCGAGGCCGGGGTCGGCGCACGGCTGGAGCCGCGCGTCAAGGGGGGGGGTACTGTCACGGTTTCGGCCGAGGCTGCTCCTCCTCCTTGTTCGGGCAGGCTTCGGCGGTCGTCGTCTCCGGAGTACTAGCTGCCACCGTTCTATGTTTCGATGTTTGTTTGGTTTGGTCTGTTTTGTACACCTGTTCATTCTTAGTGTTAATTATGTGTCCTATAAGTTCTCTTGGGTTTGGTCATGTGTTGTGTGTAATTGTTCTTTGTCAGCTTGGGATGCTAGTTCATTTATCTCTCGTTATTTGTTTTAGAGAGAGTGTCCGCACAGTGTGCGCATTTTGCTTTGCCTTGTACCCGGTGTGCGTAAAG